CTGTTTTTCATGGCAAAAATACACTCGGAGGTTTGCCATTGTTGGCGAAAGTGTGACCGTAAGTACTTACTCTACAAGCAAATAGTACGCTATACATTGAATATATTGTGCATAGAGAAAAACTACTGGGAAGTTAAAAAACGTAATTTTTACACAAAAAACGTCCAAATGACAACAGGATACAAAAAACCTCCAAATGACGTTAAAATCGTCAACCTGGCAACGCTGTATGAAATACCCACTACTGATACCTATACTATATATCTATACCTATTACTAATATTGCGCACGTTCAGAAGGCGCAACAGCTCAGTAACTGTTGCGATTGCACCTTCTGAACGCGTTGTTGTGTACTCTGATCATTTGAGACAACTTGTTGGTGTGTACCTCTGAGAGTTAAATTTGACAGCTAATGTATCAAGCCGTTCAAAAGACGCATAAAAGCGCAGTTACCCACGGACGTAAAAACGGAGAACGTGTCAGCTGACACGATCTATCTTATGGGATCTGCGTGTTAACAAAAACTCACCACCGCAGGACCGTGACGTACACGTTGCTTCTCTCTCTTTCTATCAACAGCACACTTGATATCTTTCTACGTACTTCTACGCTACGCTACGTACACGTTCGTGGGTAACCGCGCTCTAACAATCACTGATTTTTTTAGCAACGGTTACGCTCAACTGCTGCGCCTTCTGAACAGGGATGCCGTTTGGATCTAAATAGATCCAAATGGATACATTTTTAGACGAATTTTTACGGGATACTTATTTTTTCCGATCAGTATAAATGTGGATACTTTTTCAAAATTTTATGTTTTCTCTATTAATGATGTTTTCTAAATGTTTTAAAAACCGATACTTAAGTGTGAAATTAGAGCATTTTATTTTTTGTGAACGAAGCAATGAACATATGAAGAGATCTCACCAAAGCAGTGTAAGGCGCAATTGTTTAGTTAGCTAAAAGAGATGCTTTAAGCAAGATCTTAATATATAAATAAAACAAAAAAAAACTTTTTAATATACAACGCTTTTATAAATGGACTAAAAAGTGGAAAATAATATTTCTCAGTCCCACAGAATTTGTTTTGATAACTTTTGATTTTGAAATTTTAGCAAAATTCATTATCAGGGAACGGATTTTATGGAAATTGCCTTTTTTCTGCTAAAGAGATAGAGTAATTCGATTAAGCATGTCCACGATTTAGCTTTCCCTGATTCCATATATACACATTTGAAGTTGCCCATTTTTGCCTTTTTTAAGATATTTGCCTTTTTTCGCCTTTTTTAAGATATTTGCATTTTTTTGCCTTTTCTGTCTTTAAAAAACTGTTTATAGCATTTACAATTTTTTTTTTAAGATTAAAATATACACATGCCCATGCAGCTTATAGAAGAGCAGGGACCTCTAGCCAAATTGGTGTTGGAAAAATTCAAAGCCGTTTTCTCAGCTAACGTAGGCTTGGAGACAATAAGGGGAGTGGATAAAATTGTAAAGGGCGAGGAAAACGCCCTTATTCCTGATAATATGAACTTTTCAAACGTTCCATATTTAAATTGGGCTCCACTTGTATCAACTTACGTCGAGCGCACATTTAGGCTTTTCTTCGCGAAAATCGAATGAGAATGCTGCCAGAAAACTTCAAAATGCATCTTGTGGTTCAATGTTACTACAACTATATAGATTAAAGTTTTATGAGTTAGAAACTCGAAAGGATCAAATAGTCAAAGATTCAAAGTACAAATTTTTCATATAATGAAACTAGTTCATAGTTTTTATCTTTTTACTTGTAATATAAACTTTTCTAAAATAAATGTATGTATATTTTGATTGTTCTTCGTATTTTCTGTCTTTTTTTAGTGCCATATTTTGCTTTTTTTGCAATACCTAGTGGTAGATGTCGCCCCGCTATTCGCTATTCGCTATTTTGTTTTGCCTTTTTTTTGCAATACCTAGTGCCTTTTCCTGCCTTTTTTGCTATTTTATTTTGCCTTTTCCAGCCTATTTCGTTATTTTATTTTGCCTTTTTTATAGGGTTTTAGGTCCTAAAAATCCGTTCCCTGGTCATTATAAACAATTAATGACATTGACAACGAAAAACGTGGAGCGCATGCAGTACAAAGCACTCGATTTCATTGACAATAGTCAAACTGCATAACATTCTACAGGGAAAGTACAAATTTGAGATGGATTTTAAGCGGTCGTTATTCATATTCCCACATACATACATATGTTACTTTTCATATCAATTCAAGTGTATTACATGCGCCCCACGCTTTTCATTTTCAATGTCATTAATTGTTTATAATGACTTTTGCTAAAATTTCAAAATAAAAAGTTATCAAAACAAATTCTGCGGGACTGAGAAATATTATTTTCTACTTTTTAGTCAATTTATAAAAGCGTTGTATATTAAAAAGTTGGCTTGTATTTTATTTATTTTCTACTTTTTAGTCTTGTCTGTACAAAATTTTGCAATAGATATTAAAATAATTCAACTTACAGTGAAAGAGAACAGAAGACTATGAAAGTACAATGTTGTTTGCTCACATTTAGTATAAACATACTGTTACGATTATCCTTGAAACCTCGTCTGGATTTCACAAATCCTTCGGTTCATATCGTTGGATTGTTAAATAAATGCTAACGCAGTGTTCATCCAACTTGACGTTTCTGTTTGTGGATCATTCTACGTCATTCCTCGAACATTCTGCTTATTTCTCGTTGTTCGCTTTGTGTTGCCGCAGTACAATACACATGTACATACATACATATAGCAGCAGTTTCTTTCATTTAAAGAAAAGGCGTGTCGTCCATTTCCGCTGTGACGTATATAAATAATAATAATAATAGATTGGCGCTTACACATATGTTAGTGTTTGGCCGAGCTTCTCCTCCGACTTGTGACGTGCGCCTTGATGTTGTCACACAAAGCGGAGGGACCTGGAGTTTTACGCCGACTCCGAACGGCGATTGTATTTTTATGAGAAGCTATTTTTTCATGGCAGAAATACACTCGGAGGTTTGCCATTGCCTGCCGAGGGACGACCGCTGTTTAGAAAAAATCTTTTTCTATATTTTTTGGGATGTTGCTTTGACCAGGGCTTGAACCCAGGTGCGGATGTGTGAAAGCGCGCACTGCTTACCACTACACCACAGCGCCATGTATTTAGGCGCAATATTTAACTTCTTCTGGCGGGGCGACATCTACCTCTAGAGGTTTTCTAATTGTATGTCTTTGATATGATACCTACGACGAGGTTGATATCTAGACTGGGTTTGCCATAAATACCTTTGCTATATTTATAGTATAAAATGGTGGTCCGGACATACAACATTGCAAGTTGATAAAAGCGTTCTAATATATAAAGTAAATATATCTCTTTCATGTCACATATTTTCATTTGCTAATTTAAAAAGAAAGAGATCTCAGTGTAGTTAAAAATACACTGTTTAAAAAACTTAACTTGATTTATTTAAGGAAATTTTTATGAATTTTACTGAAAAGGCTTTAAATACACTCTAAAATTTTTTTGTTTATTTGCGCATATTAAGAGAGATTACCATTTTCCTCTTTTAATGTGTGCAAATTTGCACACCGTGTAATAAAATTAAACACTGCCTGTTTACTTGAACATACCAAACTTGTAGCAGAGAGCAAAATAACACATAAAATGTTTAAAATAGAGTAAATGTAAGCCCCTAATGTTTATTATTATTAGGAAATGTATTTTTAGTTTAAAAATTTTTGCAACTTTAAACATATCATGTGTATATGTATGTGTACATTTTAAAGATCTCAAGTTCAAAATCAAATCCTGAACATCTTACACGTACCCATTATACATATTCCTGTTGAAAAATAAATACTTTTCAATAGTAGTTTTACACACACTTTTTAGAGTGTACAGGTACAAATGTAACATATTAATTACTATTTATTATACTTACTTTGCAAAATACTTATGCATAAAAAATGTAATTTATAAATTTAAATTAAAAATGTTTGATTTTATGAAATATAAAAATATATAAATTCCATAAATATACGTATTCCAAGTCCTTAGGATGGGTTAAATTATGTATTTTTCTTAAAAATGTTTGGGTTTCTTACAAATTATGAGACGGATACGTAAAAAAAGAAAATTGGATACATTTGGATACATTTTTGGCTTGGTCGGTGATACATTTTCTTGGGACGGTGCGGCAACACTGCTGGACCTACCCATTAAAAATGTGAAAGTTTATGGCCCATATTCATAGTCGCAAGTTAAAACGCATTCTTGTTAAAATACAGTTTTAAGTTTAGAATAGAATTTTAAGTTGTGTCAATCATAGACATCTTAGAAACAGCTTTTTGTTGAGATGAGAGAGAACAGTGCTACCCATATGAAGAGAAAAAATTTACCCGGCAATATATAGAAATGTGAGTACTTTAATTAGTTCAGCCTGTGTCCGTTGCAGTATTGTGGATTTAGCTAGCCGGGAAGTCGTGGGTTCGAATCTCATTGCCAGGGAACATTTTTTTACATCTTTTTTTGTTATTTTAAATATAATTAAATTTTTTTTATTTAATTATAGTTATTGTTGCATTTTTAATTAAAATTAAACTCCAAAGAATTTGATTAATAACGAAATAATTATATGAAATGCCACAAACAGAAAAAGATAAAACAAAATTTATTAAAATAAAATAAAATAAAATAATTTTTATGTTAATGTTAATAATCTTACTAATATTATAAATGTAAAAGTTTGTATGTTTGGATGTTTGGGAAATCATCACGTGGAAATGACTGAACGGATTTGCATCAACCTTTGTGCGCAAGTAGCTTATGGGCCAGATTGGTTAATAGGCTATCCTTTTTAAGAGTTGCCACCTGTTAAAAAGTTTAATTTATTTAATATGCGGGAACGACTGAATGGATTTGCATGAAGATTTGCGCACAGATAGCTTATGACTTAGATTGGAAAATAGGCTACTTTTCTTAAGAGTTGCCACCTGTTAAAAAAGTTTAATTAAATTAATACGCGGAAACGACTGAATAGATTTGCATAAAATTTTGCAAGCAGATACCTAGCTTATGATCTACAGTGTAAAATAAGCTAATTTTTTGGAAGAGTTGCCACCTGTTAAAAAAGTTTATTTTATATAATTTGCGGGAACGTCTGAATGGATTTGCATGAAAATTTTCACACAGATAGCTTATGGCTTAGATTGGAAAATAGGCTACTTTTCTTAAGAGTTGCCACCTGTTAAAAAAGTTTAATTAAATTAATACGCGGAAACGACTGAATAGATTTGCATAAAATTTTGCAAGCAGATACCTAGCTTATGATCTACAGTGTAAAATAAGCTAATTTTTTGGAAGAGTTGCCACCTGTTAAAAAAGTTTATTTTATATAATTTGCGGGAACGTCTGAATGGATTTGCATGAAAATTTTCACACAGATAGCTTATGGCTTAGATTGGAAAATAGGCTACTTTTCTTAAGAGTTGCCACCTGTTAAAAAAGTTTAATTAAATTAATACGCGGAAACGACTGAACGGATTTGCATTAACTTTTGCACACAGATAGCTTATGACCTAGGTTGGAAAGTAGGCTACTATTTTTTAAGAGTTGCCACCTGTTAGAAATGTTTAATTTAATTAATAAGCGGAATGGAGTGAACTGATTTGCATGGAAGTTTTCACACAGATAGCTTATGACCTAGATTGGGAAATAGGCTACTTTTTTTAAGAGTTGCCACCTGCTAAAAAAGTTGAATTAGATTAATACGCGGAGAAGTCTGAACGGATTTGCATGAAATTTTGCAAGCAGATAGCTTATGAGGAGTTGCCACGTGTTAAAAAAGTTTAATTAATTTAATACGCGGAAACGACTGAACAGATTTGCATGAAATTTCGCACAGAGATAGCTTATGGCCTAGGTTAGGAAATAGGCTACTTTTTTAAGAATTGCCACCTGTTTGAAAATTAAATTTTGCTCACAGATGGTTTATGACCTGGATTGAAAAATAGGCTACTTCCTTAACCAGTTTCCCGATCAGAACGAAATTTGGTACACTTACTACGGATTTCGGAAGGGTGGTCTTAGACTAAAAGTAAGTCCGATAACTCAAGACCCCTCCCATACAAATTGAAAATTTCATATTACATACATATCTCTGGAAGTATTTGTGGGAGAGAACTGGAACTGGGTATAGTGATATGTATGTGAAATCAATGTTGGCAATAATCGATTGATGTTTTAATCAATTAGTTAATTCGATTAAATTCAATCTCATTACAGTTAATCATGATTAATTTTAAGCTGACTAAACAGTTAATCGTAACCGCGATTAAAAAATTAAATTTTAACCATTAACTCTTAATTTGATCAAGTATATTTGGGGATTAATTAATTTATGCTGGAATTTTCCTGTGCACACAAAGCAAGTTAATCCGATATGGCTAAGTCGGGTTTCCTCATCAATCTGAGCAATTTGGTGTGTATACCAATAATTATAATTTTTTTATATCATGTGCTTTTTATAAGCGTAAAGCACAAAATAATTATTATAACGGGTGTTTGGTTTCAAATTCGGACAAACTAGACCACTTAATCAAATTTTAATTTTTTAATTGGATTAACGATTAATGTTTAAAATTAATTAATCGTAATCGCAGCCAGCGATTAACGATTAAAAAATTTTCATCATTAATCGTACAGTTGATTACGACTAATTATTTTTAATCGTCAAGTGCGATTAACATTTTAATCCCTAATTTTTAATCGTTGATCAGATTAACATTTTGCCAACACCGTGTGAAATTATGTTGATATTCACGGAGAAAAATGGACGTTTTCGGAAAAGAGGCGTAGCACCTCCCATACTGACTGAAAGTTTCATATTGCATATCTCTTCAAATGTTTGGGGTAAAGTACTCAAGCTTGGTTTGGAAATACGTATGTATGTATGTATGTGAAACTAATACCATACTCATGGAGAAAAATGAGAGTTACTGGAAAAGGTGGTGTGGCAACTCCCATGCAAATTGACTTTTGTATGCTGCATATCTCTGGAGGTGTTTATTGCAGAGGACTGGAACTTGGCACCGAGATGTGTATACAAAATTAATTCCATACTCA